AAAAATTCCCATGTTGTTGCAGCTTGTTTGGCAAATCCAGGTCCAGTGGTGATCAAAAGCTTCACGCATCCCATTTTGCAAACTTGATCGGCGATGACAAAATGTCCTCACTGTTGCAGACGCGTGTGCATCCTGCTCTCCCAACTAGCGGAACAAGTTTGAGAGAGGAAACGCAAATACATAGAGTTGTGGGAGAAAACACAATATTTTATATAACACGCGTCAGTTTAGTGTGAAATACGTATATCACTTGTATGGAAAGTTATGCTAAATAATAAATATCATGAAACCCTTGGAGAAGTATTTGAAATTAAAGAAAAAAAAGTGTTTGCTTTATTATTTTGAGTATATTTGAAAAGGTTGAGTTGGGCTATATACGACGTAGAATTTGAATTTGAAAATGTGTTTGATAAGATTATTTTTTAATCTCCTATATTTGTAATTTAGTTAAATACTCTTTATAATAAAAATTTTAAAATTAACAAAATACCTCATCTATCCATTAAATACTGACAGCGATATTAAGAATATGGGGGTGGATGGGGTGGGTTTTATCAATTTATAAATTTTTATGTTAAGGGGTGTTGTTAAATAACAAACTTAAGAGTTAAAAAAAAAATTATTAAATTGAATAGAATAAAATTGGATTTTGATAATAGCGAAACAAATATATTTTGAATTGACGTTTGATTAAATCTACTGTTTAGGTAATCAGGGTGTTTAATATTTAACAAACTTAAAGAGTTAAAAAAATTAAATATTTTAAATTGAATAGAATAAAATTGGATTTTGATAATAGCGAAACAAATATATATTTTAAATTGACTGTTTGCATAAATCCACTGTTTAGGTAATCGAAATGGGATTTCACCTCGTGTTATGACAAAATTTTAACAAATCTCAACACTTCAACATTATTCTTTCTTTATTTATCTTTTTTAATGACTAGGGTGTTCATGTCAGTTTATACACACCTCAAACTAACTTCTCGAGATCTTAAAACTATCAATTTGATAAAAGTTTCAGTAACCATCCCTATTAGCAACCGATGAGAGACTCAAACTCATGCCTTTGAGTAATGTATTCAAGAGTCCTTATCGAACCACTCGGTCACTCAAAGATAGTTAACAGTATTCATTTCATCTAAAAAGTGTATCATTAAGATTATTTATCTCAAATGTATTCGAAAACTGTCACACACCCTTTTCCGAGCATAATAAATTTCAGCCTCATGAAAGTTATGAGATAGAAATTAATTTTGTTAATGAGATACTTAGGATAAGAACATTTTCATCTAATCTCTGTACGGATGACTGCTTTTGGGAATACTAGATGGCTTAAGGGCAACGAAAGTCTGATGAAACTGGATTCCAGCGAAATGAGCACGGTTGAATTTGGCCTCCCCAGTTGGCCCAAATATGTATCCACCTGATTCCAATGTTGACAGATTCAGCACTTTGTATATAGTATAGCTATGTTTAAATATATTTAACAATTTTATTTTAAAATTGCTTTCTCGATTAAAAAAAAAAAAACACTCCCAAATTATATGTATTCTTTAATTACGTCTGCGATCTGATGAACACATACCTTCTAGTTTTTCTGAAGTAAATAAGTGGATTATTAGTTTATAACAATATAATAGGTGCCTTTGTTTCACATAATTTTTTATTATTAAAAAGATAGAATTACCACTAACATAAATTACCTTAAAGATTAATGGAGAAATATTATACTAATATGTTTGATTAGATTAGTGAGTATAAATAATTAATATGTTTGGTTGAGAGGAATAAAATATCATCCAGAGAGTTTTACTTAATTACCCTCCCTTGTTAATGTTATTATATTATTATTTATAACATTTTTTTAATCCTCTACATTTGAGAATAAGAAAAGTTTAGCATTTAACAAAATACACCCAGCCACCCAAGACGATTGCCAACTTCTAGCCACCACCGTCGGCCGTCTTCGACAGTCGTTGGAATGGCGCACAACTAATCGGATCTAGCCGCTGCCGACAGTCGTTGGAATGGACTAGATTAGCATGGATTTGGCCAAAAAGGTAGATCCATTCTGGGCCGAAAACGGCTAGATCTGTGGCGGTTATTGGCAGAAAATCGTCAGATCTGTGGCCTTTTATAGCTATGGATATGGCCGAAAATGGCCATAATGGATCTAGTTGTTTCCAGCTAGATCCAAAACCATCTGGCCATTTTCTGTAAGAACAACATGCATGAGGAGTGGTTGAGATGAAGAGTGAAAGCATAAAAGGATGGATTTCAAAAACGGTTTTTTTAAACAAAGCATGGAAAAGAGATTATACCTACTCCTTTGCTTTGGATTGATGAAGATTAACCTCAAAATGATGAGACCTCCACACTTTAACACCACCTTGAGAGGATTAGAGAGTGGCCGTGGCTAGAGAGAGAGAGCTTTTAGTTTGTGTTTGAGTGAACAAGTGAATAAATAACTAAAATGCAACATTTTGCATTTATATATACTTGGGTAATTTTGCAATTATTTATTTTTCATTTCCAAGCCCAATAAAATCTTATTTTAAAAGGGACCCCATGAATTTATTATGCTACCCTTTGAATAATCAATATTATTCAAGGGCCCATGTAAACTAAACTAGTTTACATTAACAACCCATAAATTTATCCTTTTACCCTTTAATTATGAAAATGTTATTTTTGTTCATCTCATTAATCTTAACGCTTTAAGATATAATAATTAAATATAATTAATTATTGCTTTACCATTTTAACCCTTAAAATGTCACAAACAATTTTCTATGTAACCATTACCATAGAAATCTCGTCATTACCCTCGGAAGGTGCTAGCCCTCTTCGGATAATCATTTCTCTCTCTCATCATTCTCTAACTTCTCAAGGCTATTGGTGTGACCATGTAGGTCCATCATGGATTAGCCGTGAGCCGGTTCTGAATGAATCCGGAAACCTGTCCGGAGGCCCAACGACTATGGTAAACATCTAGCAATATGCCATAGTCCCTAAACCACGATGAAGAAATACTTCATCGAACCCATTTCAGATCATACGTACCATGTCGGTAAAGTCTCTCCATTGAAATATCTTGATCAAGCACGGATTCATGGAACGTCAAAATCCTAAACTCGATCTCTACTGAATCGTCGATTAATATCTTTAGAGCTCATCATCACAAACTTCCTTTTGTATGACTAATAATAGACTCTGGCCAGAGATTATGTTTTTTGACATTTATCGACGTTCGTCTAGGAACTCGAATCGGATGGAGTCAGCGGTATTCCCGATTCTATATTTTCGAGTGAATGGATCCCCTTTGACCATCATTCGTTTTCGCATATGAACAACGCATGACCAAATAGGCTTTATTATACGAAACATGATTAGTCCGTACTTATACACCGTATGAACCATACGTATCCGTATCAGATATGACTACAATGTCTCAGGTCAAAGGACTACATCGTGCACTGATATAACCAAACGATAAATCATTGACTACATGCTTTTCCAGTGATTTGTCGTTATTCAGTCACGTTCGAAAAATAGTCACCAACCGTATCCATACCAATGCCCTAGTGACATGACTATTATCATCATCCGTACTTATATCAACTCATGATATCTTTCGGAAGCATTCGATATGCCTACTGTGCAATATAGCTGCCCAAATTATATTGCTTCCGTAGGAAACCCTTTTCGATAATTCATTTACCGATTAAATGAATCATCTGGACAATTCATATACATACTTTATTTTAAATGCATGACTGAATAAAGGAAGCAATTTATATATATGAATTGAAGAACTCTTTCTTCTATTATTTATGATATATACATACAAGACAAAATGCTCTGAAACCGACAACATGAATGGTTTCTAGGGCATACACTAATATACATTAACATTTTTGGCCTTCGATTTGGCCAAAAACGGCTAGATTGGTGCATGGTTGGCCATGTTCGGTTGGTTGTCCGCCGTTTCGACGATGCCAACAGCGGCCGGCGGTGGTGGCCGACGGTCGATAGTTGTCTTAGGTGGCTAGGGGTATTTTGGGTATTATCCATATAAATAGTGAGGGTATTTCTATCTAAAAAAATAATATATGAGGTTAAATAAGTCATTTTGCACATTTGAGCTAATTGTTATTTAGTAGACATATGAGAGCTTTTGTGTCCAAAATGTTTATTAATTAAAGGTAAAATTAGTACGAACAGTTGATTACCTTGGTAATGGAAAAAATCACCCTCCCAGACAGTAATCGAATTACCCCCGTTTTTACCTATAGTAACCAGTAACCACTATTGGTATTGAAAGTTTAACATAATCTTTCATTACTTGACACCCAAACATAATAATTTCTGAAAAATAAGACAAATTACCGGTGTTATCCTTTATGACCCCGAAACAAATGCAACCAATGAGTAAACAACTTTTTCCCCACCAAAATAATGGCTTAATGACACTTTCTCACCCACAAACTTTTAAAAATACCATTTTACTAACCAAATTTATATTATGTTTCCGATTCTGACATTGTTGCAACCACATATCACTACTATTCTCTTCTTCGATCATCACTCACTAGAACCCCTTATATACTACTCTTGTCAACCCTGTCAATCACCAGCAATCGAGTAATTAGAGTTTACATAGTCACCCCTCTCAAGTCAAATTTTGATCAATTTCAATCACCAAAATTTAACATTTTACCACCAAAAGACTTATCGGCTTCCCCTTTTAAAAATTCTAATTGTCTGAATTGAGTTTGCTCTCTATTCGCCACTAAAATATATATATAGATAGTAAAATTGTATTTTAAAAGTCGTGGGCGGGAAAGTATAATTAAGCCATATTTGGGTGTGAAAAAGTACTTAACTTTAATATAATTGAGTTGTCATCACTGCGCGAGGTGTCGGTTGACAAATTTGGCACTAGAGCGATATGTCATCTACTTAAATCCTCGAGTCGTTTGCATTATGTTTCCTTATTAAGATGATGTTTTAGCAGCGGGTGGTGTTCTCACTCATGGCTCTACTCCCTTCCCTCCGTTCGATCATCAAACCACCACCGCCACTACTCTCCTTAGCTTCACTTTTCTTCCACAAATGCAAACTCTCAATACCAACTGCCACTAACATTTCCTCATCTCTTAAACCCAAAGCCCCAAACCCCCCGAAACATAACACCCTAGTATTCAAACCAGACGAACGCTTCCTTGCTGCTAACGGTGGGACTCAGGAGAAGTTTGAGAGTTCCAGGACTATTGCCGCAATTGTCACTTCCATGGGTGGCCCACCTGGCGCTGTGGGGATTGTACGGCTGTCGGGGCCCAAGGCCGTCGATGTCGTTGGCCGAGTGTTTAGACCCCTCAAGACAAGGAAGAGGAAGACTTCCTGGCGGCCCACTACTCATGTTGTTGAGTACGGTGTCGTTTTAGATGCTCAAGGGGAAGTTGTTGATGAGGTATTAAAATGTTTTATGTCCATTCTGGTTGATTTCGAACCTCGTCAATTGATGCTCTTTTTGGGTATTAATGATGAAAGAGTAAAAATTAAAATAATAATTTTAACAAATTAAAATAATAATTTTAACAAATTAAAATGAATGACATAATAGTCACTCCGATGAGACTAGTTCATTTGTAGAGTTAGTTCGTGCTTGTGATATGAAGAAAAACTTGAGGCTTTTCATTTCAATTTATCATTTTTAAGCTGTATTAAAATTGAAAAAGAAAAAGTATTTGTGGATAATTTGACATATCGAACACTTCTCTGTTTTATGAAGTCAATTGTCATTTAGAATGTTGGATTTATAATGGTTTTCTTTAGAATATAGTTTGGAATGAAAGTGGATAATCTGTGTTTGGTAAATTTTAGTTGCTTGAGTTTGTCTTTGTTGTGTATTTGTGCTTGTCACTGGACTAGAACGCGATTGTGCTAAGTGGAAATTTTCTTTCTTCTTTTTGTTCTCTTAATTATTCTAGGTTTTAGCTGTACCAATGTTGGCTCCGAGATCTTACACTCGAGAAGATGTGGTTGAACTTCAGTGCCATGGTAGTGACGTATGCTTGCGTCGTGTGTTAAGGGCTTGTTTAGAAGCTGGAGCGAGCCTTGCTGAACCAGGTTTACCGCTTTTTTTTTTTTTTAATCAAAAAAATTGTTATACATATTCATTATCAGATTATATCAACCAACTGTGAGATCTGGGTTTGTTTTTTCATCACCCCTGGATAGCTTAATTGTGTCTGTATTTAATTTTGTGGACTGTTTCTGCCTTCTACTGTTTTGAAGAGTACAATGTTGGTCCCTTTGTTGGGACGTTCAAAAGAACTCATTATCTTTTATGTCTCATCTGTCAAGATGATGTTATTATAGGTAGGAATGAGAAATTGATAGTTAGATCTGGAGTTATAATCTGATGGCCATGTTAATAGCCTCAAATTTGGTAGATTGGATTTTAACTATCCAATGTAGAACTTGAGTGTTTAGTGGACAGACATTGCTATTGGTTCTGACTTTTATGTATCTCTGTGTTAAGTAGGTAATACACTCTAATAGTAGTGGTCGCACAATCTTGTTGTAGCAGCATTCGATTGTCAATACTGTAAAAATGTTGTTATTCTTGTGCCTTCTACAAATGGATACGTATACGTATCCACAGTTGCAAAATGTATGTACTTGCATGTTCAACCACATACAGTTCTTCTTATGTTTGCTCTTCCTGACCAGTTCACCCTCATTGCCGTTAATGACTGGTTAGACCTATCTGTAGCTGAAAATCTTGGGAAATTAATGTGTACTTGCATGCTTACTCACATTCAGTTACTTTCCTTGTTTTCTATTTCAGGTGAATTCACTCTGCGTGCCTTTCTTAATGGCCGCTTAGACTTATCTCAAGCTGAAAATGTTGAAAAATTAGTTTCTGCAAAATCTGTCGCTGCTGCAGATGCAGCTTTGGCTGGAATCCAGGCATGTTTCCCTTACAGAAATTATATGTCAATTGCAGTTATTTCTTAGTTTGACATACTCTAGTGCATTAAAAATCTGGGACAGCTAGAAATGTAAATTCATTTTCTTTTTTTTTTTTTTTTTTTTTTTTTGGCATCAGAATAATGGGCCCTTAATAATTTGTTTCTTTTGGCAGGGAGGCTTTTCTTCTTTGGTCAAATCACTGAGAGCACAGTGCATTGAGTTGCTTACTGAGATTGAGGCTCGTTTAGATTTTGATGATGAGATGCCTCCACTAGATTTGAAAGTGATCATGGATAAAATACATGCCATGTCACAGGATGTAGAAAATGCACTGGAGACTGCCAATTATGATAAGCTTCTGCAAGCTGGATTACAGGTATAATTATGGATTATAATAAACATTTTGGCGTCATAACTCATGATAAATATTTTGGATCCTTTTATTATCTTACTATACAATAAAAGTGATTTGCTGCACAATTTTTATAGTTGTATGGGATTTTGGGACTTTGCTTAATACGCAATACTTTCATTATTGTATGGAGGGGCTCTTTATGTATCTTACTTTAGAAAAAGTATAAAATGGCCTGTGTATTTGAGGTATGTTACTGTAGATTCAGGTGCCTTCTTTAACAGGCTTCTGTTTTCTCAACCTTTTTTTATTCAAATACTTGCAGATAGCAATCGTTGGCCGTCCAAATGTTGGGAAGTCAAGCATTCTTAATGCCTGGAGCAAAGTATGTTGCATTAAGATTTTTCTTTTCCCCTTTGCTAGCAGGTGGTTACTTTTTGGCATGAGAATTACTTGTCCTCATGATTAATATATGTGGAGTTATCATTTTAATTTTGTTTTGGCATTTGCTGCTTAATTTTGATTTCCTGGACACATAATATGCACAAGTAATGCCTTCGGGTAAAGTAACTGCTTCTTGTTTTTGATTGAGATGCCCTATCTATTAGGGCCGTTCGTAACAGACATGTAAAATTTGTGTTATGAAACATCTGTACAGAAGTGTGGGCTGTATGGCTTTTATGCCAGTATTTGGAAATATGAGATAATTTGAGAATTGAGTTTATGTATCAAGCACAATAACGTTGAAGGATGTTTGAAATAGAAAATGGAGATCTTTAAGTTTTATTGCTTTTTTATATGAAATTATGGCTTTTCAACATGAGAATCTTAGTTCTATGTCGGTCAGGACCTACACAGGTAGTGTATACATTACTAGTGAACATGAGATTGCCTGTTCTCAAAATAGACAAGATTGGATTATAGTAATGTCTTTTATTCCTTTGATATTTCCTTGGATATATTAGGCTGTATTAATGTGCTGCGATTAACTTTTGGAAATACTAAAATGAAATTAATTTGGATACTATTCTTCTCTCCTTTTCATTTGGCCTGCAGTGGCTCTATGAATCCAATTATAGAAACTAGGTATAACTTGAATGGAAGAAGAATTCAAAAGAAATAATATACTTTATATAACTTGCTGAAGTATTTTCAGCCCTTTTATTTGTTTATTTTCTTTTACATAACTAGAGTTCACAACACCATAGTGAATCCATGTTTTATTTTTAGCGTGTAGACTGAGAGAGCAATAGTTACAGATATTGCCGGAACAACTCGAGATGTTGTTGAAGCCAGTGTAACAGTGTGTGGTGTACCTGTGACACTTCTTGATACAGCAGGCATCAGAGAAACTGATGACGTTGTTGAGAAGATTGGTAAGAGTGTTCTCTCTGCATGAACTTGATCTTGAAAGTTGAAACCACCTTTTGTGAAGTGACTAAGTTGAATTGTTGTAATTTGGAGAAATTTCGGAGATCAGTTCTAGATATTTGTTGGAAATGTTATATCATGCCTTGCTCAATATTTTTAAGAAGTTCATTCATTACTTGGTGTGTGACAATTGTAATTTCCCTTGCAGGTGTAGAGAGATCTGAAGCTGTAGCTCTGGGTGCCGATGTCATTATCATGACAGTGAGTGCGGTTGATGGGTGGACTTCAGAAGACACCAGACTTCTTGATAGAATTCAATCTAATAAGGTATGAACTAGTCATCAGTCTCATTGGTTTATGTAAGTTACTTGGTAGTCATCGTGGTCACCAATTTAAGATCATGTTGGTATATCATTTTTCCGTTGTTATGTGTGATCATCAGTCGCTCTTTGGAATTGCAGAAATCGAGTGGATCTTCCACCCCAATGATTCTGGTGATAAATAAAATAGACTGTGCTCTGTCAGCATGTACGGATTGGGTCAATAGAAATGGCAATCCTTTTAGCAAGCATGTTTCCACCTGTGCTGTTACTGGTGAAGGAATACAAGATTTGGAGACAGCAATCTCAGAGATTGTGGGTATCAACCAGATTCCAGCAGGTGGACGCAGATGGACTGTGAACCAGGTTAGCAACTACTGATGTGAATTTAACTCTTTTCTTTCCGAATTATTTTATGTTCTTGAGTGCCAAAATTTCCTAGATCATCATGCATTAATTACTCAGATCTGGGAGTCCTGGTTTAGTCCAAAGAGTTTTTTGAGTTGCATCAAGACTCGTTGCGATGGCGTAACTCTTTAGCTCTATGGGCCAGCTAAAACTTAGCTTGTGGGATTAGGATTATCAAGAACATCTTCTAACATAAATTTCTTTGTTGATTTTGTTGAGCAAAAAATGGAAGGGTGAAATGTTAGATTCAATTATGGGCTGATGGTTAGTTTTTTTTTTTTTTTTTTTTCTTTTAGAGACAATGTGAGCAACTTGTGAGGACGAAGGAGGCTCTTGTAAGGTTAAAATCATCAATAGAAGAGGAAATGCCTCTGGATTTTTGGACTATTGATTTGAGGGATGCTGCATTGGCCCTTGGGCAGATCAGTGGGGAAGACATCTCTGAGGAGATATTGTCCAACATTTTTGGCAAGTTCTGCATCGGTAAATAGATAACATTTGATCATGTAATAGGATCATTTAAAGCACAAGATTTTGCTTATATTTTCCTAAAAAATTACGGGGCTGATTATAACACTGAATCTTATTGTAGGAGGGTCCAAAAGCATCGTGCACAAAATTTTGATGACAATGACCTTTTTAATCTTTCGTCACAATGTTAATAAAGCGCCTTTGTTTGTTAGTATTGTACTGCATATTTGTGGACGCTTTGTTTATTGTTTTTCACCTCCGAATAAAATAATTTAAACTAGTGAGTGATGTTATTGACCCGCAAGATCCTTTTTAAAATTCCGAGTTACTGTTATCCGGAAAAGCTTCAACATGACTCACCATACCGTACGTAGTTAGTGGCCATGAGGCAGAGAGCATTCTTCTTATGCATGGTAATACCTGTTTTAACATCCAAATCTAAATCTTCGATGTTCATTCCATCTGGCATCTTTCAATCAAATTTGTAAGTTAGATCAGCAAGTGCAACCTCCACTGTCGCAAGTGCTATATACATTCATGGACACATTCTTCGCCCAGCACCAAAGGGGATAATCCCAAAGTGTTGCCCTTTAAAGTCGATACAATTACCAATGAATCTATCAGGATTAAATTCATTTGGGTATTCCCAAGCGTCAGGGTCCCTTCCTGCCGTCCCATGAATTCACAAAACGGGTGTTTCAGGAGACGGGTGTTTTAGGAGGTATTTTATGCCCGTTTATGGTGCAATTTTTAGATTCTGCTCTTGGAATTATTGGAATAATAATACTATATTTACAAAAAAAATTTACAGAAGTTTCCATATAAAGTTATGTGGCAAAAAATGAATAGAATAATAAATTTAATAAGTTTGACTTTTGGTTTCACTATTTCATTCATTTTTTGACACCTCACTTTGTATGAAAATCTTTGTAAGATAGTATTATTGTTATTGGAATTGGCGGTTGCAATCTCATTGTTTCTTTCACTAGAGCTTTAAGATAGGATAGTTTCTGAACATCATCTTCATCTACAAAACCCTTGTTCTCAATCGGGTATCTAATTTCTTCTTGAGCTTTCTTCATAGCACTAGGATTCTTCACTGCGTAGGTCATTGGCCCAAATCACAGTAGCAGACTGGCAGCAACTGTGTCTGTTCCACCGACAAATACACTGCAAAAACAAAACTAATTAAATCATTAATATCAAGAATATTTCCATTTGAAGCTACAAAAGAATATACCCATGGATTACCTTGAATAATTTCAAAACTGTAAGGGTAGTTTTCTTATAGCGTCATCATTTATCTTTTTATTTAGTTGTTGTAGTTAACGCAGTTTTTAATTTGGTGTGAATTTGTAGAGAGTATTGAATTATCAGGATCTCCTTGTACTGTAGTAAAAGAATTTTCAAATAAATAAGATTTTGTTACCACTATCAGTAAAACCCTGACCATGAGTCCATGGCTTCAACTAGAGAACATTAATATTAATTACACAGAAATCCATAAAATTAGTTAACGGAAATTAACATCCTCTTATTCATAGTTGATGGGAGTAAGGCAGAGAGCATTGTTCTTATTCATGGTGATACCTGGTACAACATCTAAATCTAAGTCTGTTTTGTTCATTCCAGGTGGCATTTCCCAATTGAATTTGTAAAGAAGATTAGCAAGTGCAAGCTCTACAGTGGCTACTCCCATGTGTAATCCTGGACAAATTCTTCGACCACCGCCAAATGGAATGAACTCAAAGTCCTTTAAAATCAATAGAACTGCCAACGAATCTCTCAGGGTAAAATTCATGAGGGTTCTCCCAAGCTTCAGGATCTCTTCCTATGGCCCATGAATTCACAAAAACAGGTCGTATTTCAAACCCGTCTATAATGCAATTTTCTGTAGTTTCTCTTGGGATTAGAAAAGGAATTGTTGGTTGCAATCTCATTGTCTCTTTCACTACAGCTTTAAGATAAGTCAACTTCTGAACATCATCTTCATTTACAAAACCTTTTTTTCCGATTTCAGATCTAATTTCTTCTTCTACTTTCTTCATTACTCTAGAATTTTTCATTAGATAGGTCATGGCCCAAACAATTGTAGCTGCACTTGGGTCTGAGCCACCGGCAAATACATTCTGCAAAGGAAAATAAATAAATAAAATAAGAGAAACAATATTTGTATTTTGAAGATTAAACATAAAATATTATGAAATTATAAGAAAAATATATATCACCATGAGAATTGCTTTGATGTGATCCCAAGAAATATCAACTTTAAGCCCTCCATCTTTTTGTATTCGAAGTAAAACATCAACTATATCCTCTTGTTCATTTTTGGGCGCCTTGGAATCTGAATGGTCTTGGATTATTTCCTGGAAGAATCTATCAAGTTCCTTGAAGTTGTTTTCAAGGCGTCTTTTCATTCCTGTCAGTTTGTCAACCCAGCCCATGAAAGGAAAATAATCTGAAAAAAGGAAGCTTCCCAACATGGCCTCAGTTTTATGAAGCATAGCATAAAATCTACTGCCTTCACTTTCATCACCCTCATACCTCTTCCCAAAAGCAAGTCTGCAAATAATGCTACTCGTCATAGACATCAGTAACTCACTTAAGTTGACAGGGTTAGAAGCACCAACTGATTTTGAAATCTTTTGAATCATACGGGAAACTTCGTCTTCTCGAGTGGGACGAAATTTTTGCACTCTATTTTGTGTTGAAGAGATGCATAACACATAATTTCCTTTTGTCCCTCCAAGACTCATTGTATGGTGCAAAAGCGAAGTCTAAGCCATTGTAAGTCAACTTTCGCATAGCAAGTAAGGCAGGTCTATTACAAAATGCAAGATCATGAGTCTTCAACACCTGTTTAGCCATTTTTGCGGACGAAAATATTAGGGTTGGCATAGAACCAATACGCAAGGACATGAGGGGGCCATACTTTTGAGAGAGTTTCCGCACATTTTCGGGGTCTGAGCTATCAAACTGTTGTAAATTACCGATAAAGGGAAGACCCTAGGGCCAGGTAACGAACGAAAGATTTTAATAATACTATACTTACAAAGAAAATTTACAAAGATTTTCAGGTGACAAAAAATAAATAGAAGAGTGAAACAAAAAATCAAACTCATTAAATTTACTCTTCCATTCATTTTTTGTTATATCACTTTGTATGAAAATCTTTGTAAAATTTCTCCTCAGTGTAGTATTACTCCAAAGATTTATGGGGGTTTGGTATCTCTGAAGAAGAAGCAAGAGCAGGATTGGCAGAAATAAAAGGACAATAAGCAACGCCATTAGTTTTTAACTATACAACAATTCGAAAAGATACCCCACTAAATAGGCATCAAAATTTAACAATATAATCATTTAAAGGAATGTGCATTTATAATATTCAGTTTAATTATTTGATATCTCATCTAAATCTAATATAATCCTACTTAATTAACATTCACTCTTTTTAAAGCAAAATCACTATCTTTTTCAAATCTACGTTACATAATTATTGATAATAAACAAAGGGGTTCTACAGCGTTGTAAATCCATATCCAAAATTTATATGGTGCTATGTGAATCCCTAGAATCATGTGAAGTGTGTGGCTAAACCAATAAGGAAATCATCTCTAATAATGCCATATAAATCGTTAGAAACATGTGATTGAGTATCTAAAGTGGAGCAGGCTACATGACACAAAATATCTTTCTAAAAGGGAACCATTACGGATATATAAATTACATATTTTTCCATCCTAGCAGGGAAGAGGAAAGTAATACTCAATTTTAAAGTTAGTAAGCAAAATTTCATACTTGATCTGATACATACATATAGAATTATGTGGAAAGTTGTATTTGATGAAAGTCGTATGTACTCTGATATGAATCTTTCAAGAGTAATTTTGTTAAAGTTATCACTTAACCTAAGATTAATATTTAAATTTAACAACTTGGTTTAGATACTCTAACAATCAAGTTTTCACAAAAAGAGTCCATTATCAATATTTATGTGATAATTTGACTTTAGTGGAAAATCAAAATAAAATCATTTCAATTAATGTATATGTTGATGCATTTATAAATTTGTAAGCTATCTATTTGACCCAGGAAACTTAAATTATAAGATCAAAACTCAGTATTAATTTTTAAGTCTGACAAATCTCAACATACTATATATATAAACAAAAATAATATATATATATATTAACCGTAGGAGCAGATAATATTTTCAATTAAAACATTAACTTAATGGATTACATTTCTTGAAATTTCAGAAAACAAGGTGCATCAATGATTTACGTATTGTGAAACAGAAAAAAAGAAAAGTAAATTGGAGCTGGATTGGATTTCAATTTTCAAGGATAAAAAAGCCAGATGTTAAGTTTTAAATTAAAAAAAGAAAAAGAAACCTCTACTATAAGTTATTACACATATTTTAGTCATTAAAGAGGTAATATTTCATCACCTTCACCGTGTGGTCTAGTAAGCAATCACTTGCAAATAAAGAATATTCTTTCTTCCTTTCTTTTCTAACTGAAACGCGCAAAATCGAAGGATCTCTTTAAAAATAAAATAAAATTCCTAATTCATATCTCTTGTATCTTCGCAATGAAGAGACCGATCGAAAAGGAGTATGGAATTTGTGTTGTTGCATGTATCACCATTAGCATTACTTTTTTTTTTTTTTTTAATTTTCTTGTATAGCGCCGACTTTGGTCTATAAATTGTATATTAATTAGAACTAATAAGGTTAATGGTAAATTTGGAGTTTAGGTGATTTAATTTGAAAGTTCTTGGAATTGAGAGATGTGAGGGCGAAGAGTTTTGTAAAATTGTTCCTGCCTACAACGGCAGATGGATTCCAAGGCTAATTATTAAAAACCCTAATTGGACGGGAAAGGATAAATAGACAGTAAATGTTGGATATTAGAGATCACAAATGGGACGGATAAATTCACTTAAAATAAACCCAAAATGCTTTGTATAAATTCATCTTTGAAGAGAGTGGAAGTAAACTTGTAATCAAAATGTGTTTTAATATTGTTAGAATCTCACATCGACTAAACACGTTCAAGCCTACTAATTTATAAGAGGAGATAATCCTCTCATTCAACAAAGTCTTATTAGGTGAGAAGTCAAACCTATCTCAAAATTCTATCATAAAAAAAGAACTGACAAGAGAAGAGTTGAAGGAGATAGAAAAAAGAAGAAAAGCAAAGCAAAAGGAGAAAGAAAGGAACACCACCGGAAAAGTGAGGTACACCGACGCAAAGCCCGATGCCGGGACATGGCGCTGGCCCATCCAAACAATATGGAAATAAGTTAAAAGATTGTTACCCGTATAAGTAAAAAACACGACCAATATGACTCTTCAACTCAGTAAGCTTAAATAGATTTATGAAGATTTTGAAATTTGAACGAGGCAATGAGAATTTTAAAATATTGCTGTGAATTTATGATCAAATTAAAAGTATATATATATATATATATATATTGTATTCCTTAGTGCAACAAACCATTAAAATCTGTTTATGTTCTCTAATACGGGAAGCAAAAGTTGAAAACCTGGACCATGACTCTTCCAACTAGAGAACATTAAGTTAACGGAAATTAATATTCTTCTTATTCATAATTGATGGGCGTAAGGTAGAGAGCATTCTTCTTATTCATGGTGACGCCTGGTAAACACTCCAAATCTAAGTCTTCCTTGTTCATTCCAG